AACTTATTAACCCCCTCTTTATAAAAGATGGCTAGATCGATGGAAAAGTAATTCTCTATAACTGTAACTGTCTATCGAGCTAATGTCAGAACCTAAAAGAGAGTCTCAAAAAGGCATCAAACCATCAAAGCATTAAACAAAAAGACACCTGTCCATTAGAAAGCAGTGGCTTTTTAATATTGTGGTCACATTGGTTTATCACATATAGGTTTCAGCTGTGCCGGCTAGTGTAGCAAAATCTGTAAATCTACATTACTATTCTTTATCAAAGTCTAATTTCCTTCCATCACCATAAAATTGACTCCTGTTACCCAATTTACCCACCCTACTTCCTCTTCCCTCTGGGCACCACTACTTTGTCTTATAGTCCAAGAGTTTGTTTCATTTGTCATGGGCTTTGTTTCTTTATCTCACTGGTATGAAGTCATAGTATTTACCTCTTTCCATTTGATGTTTTTCACTTAGCATACTACCTTCCAGAGGCATCTGTGTTGTTGCAAATAGCAGAACTTTGCCTTTTTTATTTTTATAGCTGACAAGTATTTCATTTTATATGTATATTTACACACACACATTAGGTGTTGACAATGCTTGGCTGTTGTAAATAAGCTGTGGTGAAGAGCTTATTTACTACATGAAGAGTAGTCACCTCTGCAAATTAGCATTTTCATATTCTTTGGGTACACAGCTAGCAGGTGATAGCTGGGCCATTGGGCATCTCGATTCTTCGTGTTTTGAGGACCGTCCTTACTGTTTCCCATCCAGGCTACACTGATTTCCACACCCACCATCAGTGTCCGGGGATCCCTTTCCTCTGCATCTTCATCAACACATGCTCCTTGTCTTTCCTTAAGAACCATTCGAACAGGTGTGAGGTGATGTCCCATCGTGGTTCCCCAGGTGAAAGGTGACCACGAGCCTCTTCTCACATGCCTGGTGCCATCAAGGTGTCTTCTCTGGGGAAGTGTTTCAGAGCATCCACCCATTTTTGAATCTGTTTTTAGGTTTTGTCATTGAGCTTAATTTCCTTATAAATTTTAGATGTTGCCTCTGGTGTGTGAATAACTTCAGACCTCCTGTTTAAAAATACACCCGTGGATCCCAGTAGGTTCTAGTGCCCTTTCCCTTCTGACACAGGCTCCACAGGCTTCTTGCTCCACATGGCTGGGTGTTTCTTGGCTTTATGAGCTTTTGGAGAAAGGACTCTGGCATGGCAACTGCCTTGCAGGATGGAAACTCACAGACTCTTGGTTTTGAGAATCTATAATTCAGTTCAGTGGTTAACAGTGTGTGTTTGGGGACAGAGGAATCCTGGCTCGGTCACTTCCTAGCTCTAGGGCAGTCATTGTCTCAGATTTCTTTTTCTTTTTTTTTTTTTTTTTTAAGATTTATTTATTTATGCATACAGAACTGGGGTATAGGCCAGAGGTGCAGGGGGCTGAGAGGCTTCACCAGAGACAGAGTGGGGAGTAGGACAGGCAGATCCACGAGGCGCACTGCTGAGGGGAGCATAGGGCGGGTCAGTAGAGGTCTGCCAAGCCATGTGGTCACCTCCAGGGGCCACACTGGGGTGGCTGCGGCTCGCTTACAGAGCCCCATCCTAACTGTTGCGCCACTAGGGAGGGCCCTCAGATTTATTTTCATCGCATGGATAGAGAAGAAGCACGAGCTGCTCGGCGGGTCTGTGCTGAGAGTCAGGCGGAGCCGGGGCGGGCACAGCGCAGCACACGCCACCATCGCGTTAGCTACCGCAGATATGGTCACTGCTGGTGCGCACGTAAGTGCAGCCCAGTCTCGGAGGAGGACCACATGGCGCTACCTGTCAACGACGGCCATCTCACCCAGAGCAATAAACATTTACTGAATCGGTGCTTTCCCCCAGACACTCCTCTAAGGATCTCCCAAGCTTTCGCTGATTTAATTTTCACAACGGCCTGACAGGAGGTACGACCAGTAGCCCGTGGCATGGAGGGGGGAGGTGAGATTCAGAGAGGGCCGATAACCAGCTGGAGGTCTCGTTGTAAAACAGAGGTGAGGCTGGGTGAGACTCCAGCGAACATGCTGTTGGCTCATGGTTGCCTCTGAGCTGAGACCAGACTCCTTGGAATCCCTCTTCCCCTCTGCAGCCCCCGGCGGCTCTAGCTGCTGGACGCTGCTGGACTACGCACAGCTGGACGCCCGACTCCCTCCTGCGGCTGCGTGGGCTACTGCTCCGCTCCCTGGTATTTCTCACGGCCTTTAAAGCTCCGACCCCTCGCACACAGGATGGCTTCACTTTTCCTAACACAGGAAGACAAATCCAGATGCTGTCGCTTTCATGTGTCCTCTAGAGAAGCGAAACCACGGGTCAGACAGAACCAGAGAATCCCAGATCCTAGAAGTCTGACTGTAGAATTCAGGTTCCCAGAGATTGGGGCAGGCGGAGAGCAGCTGTGTGTGTTGGGGGGGTGGGGAGGGCGGAATGGAAGATGGTGGAGGGCGGGGGCCTGGGGGTGGGTGTGGAGCGCTTTCGTGGGTCAGGTGTAATCCAATACCTCTCAGTCATATACAGTGCTGTGAGTCAATTTACTTCAATTGAAAAAGAATAAAAGAGAATTAAAAACCATCTATATCCTTTGAGAGATTAAACACCCCCTTTCCTATGCAGTTTATAAGGGCTTTTTTTTTATCATTAAAATAAATGACCTTGCTCTGAGAGGGAGGAAGTGGCCCTGTGTCTGGGGTAGGCTGGGGACGCACTGCTGCCTCTCCCTGGGCTGGCATCCTGAGTCTTGTGAGAACCAAAGCTCAAGGGCACCAGCGCAGGTGTGTGCCTCCTCAGCTGCTTTCCCAGTTAGGGCTGACTGGCCCAAGGGGGCGACTGGAGGCGTCCAGATAGAAGGAGGGAGGAAGGGGGAAGGGAATAGCACATAGAGCTGACTTTCCATGTGTGGGACGAGGCTGCCTCCTCACAGCACTTCGCAGTTTAGAGGAGACCACCCCCCTCCCCCCTTGCCCGTTTGCCCCTAAGGTCCTCACTCCAGCTGCGCTGAGACTCTGTCCCAGGGCTCCTAAATCCAATCCCCGGGTTCTTTCCACATTCCCAACTTCTGTCGGAGAAGGATTTATACCAGGAAGCTTCATGCAATTTGATGTCGGCGGGGTGGGAACCGGGGTCTTCAGAGGAGAGGAATGACAGACGGAAGAGATCACTCTGGTAGTTCCGCATTCCACCGTGGAGGTGGATGACTGGGCTGTGAGCTCAACAGTTGTCTTTGATGTGGGCCTCACCAGCAATCCATACCTCATACATCCCCCAGGACTTCAGAAACACGTTATTGGGTAGGGCTGTGGGCTTGATCAGGGAGGTTTTGTTTCATTCTTTAGTCCTCACCCCCACCCCACCCCCCAAAAGGAAAACACGATTAAAATTCCAAAATCATGACTCCAAGTACATTCATGAAGAAAGAATTTTAACATGGGATAACAATGATGCAATTTTTGGTCTAGATTGTAGCTAGAAGTAAAGCTTGTAAAAAAATAACTTGGGTCGTTCTTTCCAGCATGTGGGTCGTTCTTTCCAGCATGTGAGCATGTCATAATCGATTTCTCTAGATCTCCATAACTGTGTTAGGTAGACGTGGCCAGTATTGAACAAGAAAGGAAATTCAGTTTGATGAAGGCTAAACGTCTTGTGCAGGTCACAGTCAGTGAGGAAGGGACAAGTTTAGAATTTTCAGGCCTTTTGACTTCTATGTCTGATTTGGAAATAGTCATGAAAACCTGAAAAGCCCAGTAAACTTCATAGGGAATGACAGACACCCACAAATCTGCTGATGACTAGGACGTCAGTGTGCTGGTGATTGGGGCTGATGATGACAGGCCTCATGCTTGCAAGCAGTGATTATTGTAAAGTTTGGGAATATTAAGACTCTTTATGAACAAATCGGAGCAGGAATTTAAATTAATGTTTTCATGGTCACCCATCACAGGGACAGAGGGAGACAGGGTTCTGTTCTGAGAATTCCAGGTCCCTTGAGAAACAATCAGAACCAGCTCCCATTTCCTAAAGGATAGAAAGAGAAAGCACACGTTTAATGAGGGGCCCACGCCATTCCTTCAAATGCTCTGCATTCATCTCCCACAACTGTTCCTGATTCTCCAAGAAAATACTTGGTGACCCTAGTGGCTGGTCAAGTACTGCAAAATGTGTACATCACAGGGACAAAGCTAGACCAAAATAAACCCTAGAAGTCTGACTGCAGGACTGGGGCTACCAGGGGGGGAGTATAGGGGTGAGGGACCCTGTGGGCTGAGGTAGAGGATTGGGGTGCTTTGATGGTGGGCATGGAGTCGTGAACCTAAGATACATACAGTGTACAGACCAATGCTCCATCCAGAAAATCAATCATTAAAAATATGAATTTTTCAAAGAACTTTTCTCAGTTTAAAAAAGTGTCTTCGGGAAGGTGAACTATGTCTGGGTAAACTAATGGAGGTGGCGGAATTCAGCAAGATTCAACGGTGACTACCTACTCCAGGACATGAAATGGGACAGATACTTTTTCTTCATTCACCCTGTTCCCATCCAGGCTTCTTTCTATATCCAAAGGAGGAGTTTAGCAGGGAAGGTTGTAGCTTTTCACCCTGATGTGCCACAGCCAAAAACAATCCCCAAACTAGTCTGACTGGCTCTAATAAGGACATAAGTAAACAAGCTCTGGGTAAACAAAAGAGAAACCTGCCCATCACCTGTGGAGCCAGGTAATGTAGGTCACCTTCCTGGTGCCTGTCCCTGGTAAGTGCCAGAGGAGTGTCTAGAGCAATGACTTTCATCATCACGCTGGCAGCAGTGACTTAGAGAAGGAGCAGAATGAAAGACTCTATGTAGCAGTGGAGACCCGCTGTAGTAGTAAGAAACTAAGTACCTTACGGGACTGGGGAGTTCTTAAACCTTTTTGGCAGGAGCAAGTATTGGCCTCTCTTTCATGAATGAGGGTCATTTTCATCACCTTGGGATGTTAGACTTTAGCAAGTCTGGTGATGAAGCAAGGTTGCACGTGTTCGTAGGAAGAGATGACTTTCCCATCCTGGAACTCTTCTGTGAGGGTGCAGATTTTAACCAGAAGCCGGGTCAGGGCTCTGTAGGGATCACAGGGCTCGCGTCTCCCATGGGCTGCGTGCTCCAGGGCTCCGGTCTGACTGGGTGTGCACGTGGAAGACTCACAGGTGGTAGCACAAGGGTTACAGGGAAGCCTAGAAAAAAAAACAGATTTTCCCCTTGATTGAGGGAAAGCAAGCATGGCTAAAGAGAAAAATGGTGGTGGTCAAAGTTTCAACATGGGTGACTCAAGACAAAGACTTCCAATGCTCATTTGTTCATTTTTTTGCATGGTCATTAGTGGAAGAAAATGAATCAGACCAGATCCAGAGCCATACCATAGGTATGGAAACATTGCAGCATGTAAGCTGCATTATAGTGGAGACTGGAGCTTTGTGGCAAAGCACCACACCAGCAAAGCATAGGTGGGGCCCGTTTACCAGTTAATGACCTCAGGTAAGTCAGCTCCTCTGAAGCTTTAGTTTTTCAGTATATTCAGAATGGGTATAATTGGATTAACGCAGGATCAACAGTGATAAAGAAAAAGTTAATTAGATAGTTGCCCTATCAATGTGTTAGTCACGATACTTCTGGTGGGTCTAAAGGAGTCACCCCAATGGTTTCATTGGGAAACTCCAGTGTGTCTTCAGGCCTCTCTAAGTGAAAATTCCTTAGAGAATTGGAGTTAGAAACAGGAAACATTAGAAGCTTGTTTTGGGAAACATTATCTTTCTCTGATAATTCAAGGCGCTTGGTATTTTGTAGCTCCTCTGAGAGCTACGTCCATTAACCTGCACTGGCATTACATGGACATGTGTAATTAGAAAGATGAGAATAGAGGCTTCTTTTGAGGAGAAGGGACTGCTTAGCAATTTGGGGCATTAGTTTGGAAACTGAGTCATGTCAAAGAGCTTGTACTCAGTCATGTCAAAGAGCTTGTACTCAGCACCTTATGGGTTGCTGAATCTTTTTGTCATTTAAAAACATTACCAATTCTATTTAAAAAAAATAAAAAGAGGCTGAAACCCACACATATGCACTCTGCTTTAAGTGGCCAGGGGTGTTCATCTTTGAGGGCACTGTTTTTCCTCCAGTAATTTGTAAAACTCCAAGAAGCTAAACCACCTAAAACATATTAATCTAGTTTGTTGGTTCTTCAAAATCCGTTGTGCCAATGCCTCTGCCCTGGGCTAGGTCACCACCGTAGGTCACCCAACACCACAGTTGGAGAGTGTGGAGGGACCCTTCATCTCAAGCTTCCCTTCACTGGCCAGAAGATCAAACACATGCACCCTTTGCTGGTGGTGGCACCTGGGGTGTGGGCACCTTTCCCATAAGCCACTGTTTGTATGTTACGTACTTGCTGTCAGAACTCTCCAGCAGGCTGCGGTATGTGCCGATCTCACACTCCAGCCGGCTCTTGATGTCCAGTAGAACCTCATATTCTTGGCTCTGTCTTTCTAGGGCGCACCGGATCTCTGATAGCTGCGCCTCCAGGTTATCGATCAGACCCTGGATCTGGGCCAGCAGGGTAGAGTAGCGGGCCTCTGTCTCTGTCAGCATGCTCTCCTGGGAGTCTCTCTACAAGGGAGGAGGAAAGAATCATTTATGATGCTGACTCTCAAGCTTGGGTCACTTGTGATTTGCAGCATTTGGAGCAATGGTGTCTTGTAACAGATACCAACGAGGCTCCAAGTCTTCTTCTTGCCTCCAAGTGGGTATGTCCCAAACCAAAGGATCAACTGTAGTAAGGCTTGCTTCCCTTTATCCTCTTATTTTATCCCTCTTTTAAGTTTTTATTTCTCTTCCTCTTTCTTAATTACCTGGTAATCTCTTAGCACACTCTCCTACCTATGGGAATAAAAAAATATTCCAGTTTATTTTTTATACCCAGATATTAAAATCATATCACCATGGCACCTCATTCTGAGAGTATTTGTATTTTAAAAAGGAAAGGTGCAACATTTAGCTAAAAGTTCCTCCTTGGATCAATTTCTCAGTGTAAAATAAGAGAGCTAAGATCTTGGTGATTAAAGTTCTTACCTGTGCTATCATCCTATAAGCTTATGGATAGTGGAATCATTTATAAGATTATTAGAATTCTTGTAGATGAAGAAACTGAGGATAAATGAGTTACCTACAGTCATGTCACTAGATGGTGACAAAATCAACTTTAGCACAAGGTCTTCCCAGTACCTTTCAGATCTGCATTTAAATAATTTCCTGCTTCAACACGCTATTACACAGACAGGGAAGGGAGCTCTGGGCTCAGAGCCTAAATCCTTTCTCAGAGTCATTTCTTCTGTGAGGTTTGACAGTGACTTAAAGCTCCAAGATCTCAACTGTCTCTATAAAACAGATAAGGTAAAATTTATCTTGGATTTGATTTTGGAAAATCACCTTCACTCTCTGTGCCTTATCTGTAAAATGGGCTTAAAATTATCCCACCTCCTTCTAAGACCATTATAAGTTTGTAACATAACAGTTTGTAAACAATTCTTGCACATTATAAAATGCTCTCTCAGAGTTTCCCAGTGTAGTCTGTGGCTCATTGTTGCCATCAAATAAGTTTTGGATGCTGGCTACCAAATCCCCTGCTTGGAGAGTCACAGCACACATCTGCTTACGAGTGGCCTGCAGGAAGGCATATGGTATGGCTTCTGCTTAACCCAGCATTTCCCAGCTTTTTTTGGGACCATCGTGTCCTTTTGGGGGTAACAGATCCTTTAATAAACAGAGGAACCACTGCTCTAAGGAACACAATCTGGGAAACAGCCACCCCTGTGGAGCCGGGTACCATTCGGTGCTGAGCCTGGAGTTCAATCTCCAGCGAGTTCTTGACACGTCTCAGCTCGATGATCTCTGTCTGGCAGCACTGCTGCTGTTGGGTACTGCTCATCACTTGCTGCTTCAGCTCCTCCATCTGAAACACACGCAAGGACCACGGCCATCAGGAGGGCAGGAACGATTCTGAGCCTGGCAATGCAACACCAGCTTATTTTTTGTGACTCTGTTCCTCCCCACCTGCGTGTTGAACCATTGTTCCACATCTTTGCGATTGGTCTCCGTGATCGACTCATATTGACATCTCATTTCTTGGAGAAGCTGTTGTAAGTCAACAGAAGGGGCAGCAGTCACTTCAATGTTGAGTCTGTGCCCAAGCTGGCTCTGCAGGGTGTGGATTTCCTGCAGAAAGAGAGAGAATGCAAAGGCACTCGGTGAACATCTGATTCCCTTGTGTCTTTGTCTCAGGCCAACAGCAATGATTTACCTGTATTTGACATGATTATTACCATAAAGGGAAGCAGGATTTATAGGTGCCATGGAAATGTTATTAAAACGACTTAAATCTTTCAGTTGCAACCAAATGTGATCCACTATGTTCAGTGAAATGCAAAATGAAAAGCAATTGACCAGCAAGATCAGGGTGAAGGCACCGAGATCATTTCCAGGGACATGCACCGAGATGGAGTCATCAGTGCTGCCGGGGTGTGTAGGGGTGCCTACAAAAAGGTGGGAAACCTGGGGGGACATGAGAATTAGGTGGCTTCCTTCTCTCAACAAAGCTGGGGTGGTGGAGACTTTAGATGTTGTAGATCTGACACTCTGAACAGTGTGTCCCGCCAGAGCCTAAGCAGAGCGGTAGCATGTGGGACATACACCATCAAGTTCATGTCAAGGGAGTTAATGTTATTTTTAGGGATTCAGCTGGTTTAGAGGCTTTCAGTTTTCCTCTAACCTTTTCCTGGTCGCTCTTGAGACAAAGGAGCTCCTCTTTCAGAGACTGGACTCGTGCCTCCAGGTCAGCTTTGCCCAGCGTCAGGGCGTTCAGGATCTGCTTCAGGCTGTTGACATCTGCCTCCACTAGCTGGCGCAGGGACACCTCAGCTTCATACCTTTAAAAACGAGACACAGGAAAAAAGGCTTTCAAAGGTAGAGATGGTATAAATCAAGCCATGTGGAACTCCCTTCCACTTCTTCCTCTGGGCCTGTCATTCAGTTGTGGGTTTGTTCTTTTCCAAGGTGAAGCCATTTGATAAATGTCACCTTTGAATGACTATTCCTAAATCAGTCAGAGTGATGCTATGTTGCTTTTCTGTGAGGTGAAGGAAATTATCTTCCTTCCTTTGCCCCAAGAGGTAATGCAACTTAAGCAGAAAGTATACTAGGTTAGAAAGCTTGTGTCCACGTTTTGCTTCTGTCTTGTATGAGCTTTGAATGAGTCACAGAATGCCATTAAACCAGTTTCTCACTTTAAATGGGCAAGCGTGTATTAGCCCTGACCATGCTACTGAGTCGTTGTGCAGGCCGGAAGCTAGACAGGTTCATGTGTTAGAAGCTACCTGTGAGGCATCTGCAGAAGTGTTAGTAATCTCCATCCTTTATTGCCTGTGAAGGGCTGTTCTGGATGGCTGCTGACACAGTGTGTGGGAGGGTCAGTAGATGTGGGGCATCTTGTTGGGAGTGTCTAGCATCAGAGGCAGGGGTATTCTGTGGTAGATGGCAGTGCTGGTGGGCTTACTTGGTTCTCATGTCATCAGCTGTCAGTTTGGCGTTGTCGATTTGTGAGACCAGTCTGGAATTCTCAGCCTTGGTACACAAGATCTAGAATTAAGAAATTGTACACACAAATGAGACAGACACCAACATCTCCTTCTTTATAAACCGAGGGACCTGAGCATGTTTCAGTGAACAAAGAAAGGCTAGGTAGGCTTTTCATAGTGATTCTGAGGAAATTTGGGGAATATTGCCAGAGCAGAATTTTTATTATTTCCTAAAAGATCTGTAAAAATTACATCAATAACTTTTGTTCATAGTTCACTGTTAAAAATGTAAGGTCCATTCTGAATTTGCGTAACATGCCAGGATCCTCTAGAATAGAAATTCTACATGTCAGGGACTTACTGGTTTATCAGTATTTCTCCAGAGCCTAGAATAATACCTGGCGCATTGTTGGCATTCAGTAAATATTTGCTGACTAATCAAAAGTGAATAAATCCAGCATGTGTAGCAACACAGCCCTCTGGATAGGAAGCATAGGTTTGATATGGGCAGAAACTAAATATTTTGGAGATGAGGAAATGAGCAAAGGGGGAGATTGGTGGGAGGGGTGGGAAAAAATGAATGCAAACTCTTCAGGAACATATTATAATCAAATCCACTTTCTCACATTCCTCTTAACTTATTTCATGAAAGAAATGGCAGCAACATGTTAGTATACCTTTGCCCCAGTCGTCAGGCTATAATGGCAGAGCACATCTCTGGAAAAAGTGATAGCATCCTTAACACTGTCTGAAGAGGACAATTCCATTCAAGAGATGTCCTTATTCTACAAAACATTTGTTAGCATAAAAGCAACCAAAATATCAACTGAGCCAACGGCCAGGAGATTACCAACTTGCGGCTTATCAGCTCCGGTGTCTGAGACTCTTACCTTCTGCTGGAGCGCCTCAATGGTAGCGTAGTAGGACAGGTAATCAGGACACACGGCAGGGAGCTCTTTGTTGCACTCTGCTTGGATCTTACACTCCAGTGTGGCGTTCTCTTGTCCCAGCATGCGTACCTTTTCCAGGTAGTTAGCAAGGCGATTGTTCAAGGCCTGCAGGCTCTCTTTCTCATGACTGTTGATGCCTTCACCACAGCTGCAGTCACCCAGAGGCAGAAGGGCATGGAAGCTTCTTATTAAGCACAAGGGCGGGAGACAGAAATAAGGCAGAGGCTGGCAGCCCGGGGGCTGGGGAGTTCTTAGAACATGGCCAGTGGGCTGGCAGTTGTTGACTTCATCACCATGCTGGCAGCTGGTGTTGGAAGAGATGGTCCTGAAATGTGTAACCCTAGCACAGCCGTGGCGTGACACTGAAGAAGAAGTACTTGTACAGCCATCGGTGTCCATCGTGTGTACCCAGCTTTCGTTTATTTCTGTCTGTGGTCCTCCAGATCTGAATGAAAGCTCAGGCTGCTCCGACTGAGTCTAAAATTCTAAGCCTTTTGGCATTTCCTCTTTGAAGTGTTTATATAGCCTTTCCTCAAGGTGGTGTCACAGCAGGAGGGATGTTTTCCTTTCTAATGTTTATATCAAATCCCATAGGAACATCTCATTAGTCTGCTTTTTATTTGTCTGAGATGAGCATTAAAATGTCTCATTAAAATGTGCATTTAGGCAGTTACTAAGTTATTACCCATCACAACTACTACTTGTCATTGGGTCCAGAGCTTCACATCATGTCTTCAAAAGGATCTGTCGTCACAGTTGTAACAGCATCCATGATTAAGCAGGTGTGAGAAGATTAAGTTCATTAAGTCCTTGTTGAGCTCCCCACTTGGCAGTGAGCTTGACCAGGAACGAGTGCATCCTTCTCTTCCTTTCTTCTCTGGGAAAGGGAAACTACTAATATATAATAATTATTGGGGAATGTAGAAATTAGTATTTTATTTTGGCCTGCCCAGCTGATTCTCCTGTTTTCATTGTTGGTATATGAATATGGATTGAAATTTTGTTCTTAAATAAGGCTCTTTTAAAAGTGGTTGATAGATTGCTGTTTTAACTTTCTGGGTAGGTGGGATTGCCAACAAGAAATTTCTTGGAAAGATTGGTTATCTTCTTATTTTTCAAAGTCCACATTTAATGATATTTCTAGTGTCCAGTATTTGCTTGTGACACTACACTTAGTAAAAATTTATTGTGATGTTGGTTTAAATTTGCTGTTGAAAGGTATGAGTGTTCTTTCTGAGGAATGCTTACTCAGCATTTTTAAAGGCAAGTGATTTGTTCCCAATCCTTTATGGGAGGTGTAGGAGTAAGTCCTGCCTCTTCACTATACATTGTCTGAATTCCTCGGCTCATGGCCCCTTCCACCTTCCAAGACAGCCGTGTCCTTTGGAGTCTTTCTCACATAGCATCACTCTGGTATAGCTCTTCTGTGTCCCTCTCTCATATTTAAGGCCTCTGTGTTTACATTTGGTCCATTCAAATAAGCTAGGGTAATTTTCCCATTTTAAAGTCAACTCATTACTAACCTGACTTCCCCATTTTCATCTGGTCTAACATATCAAAGGATGCAGGATAAGATATAAACATCTTTGACTGCCTGTAATTCACACAATGGAAGAATGAATTAACAAACATCCAAAATGCAAGAAAAAATTAAGTTAGAATGATACATAATCTGCTTGAATAAAAAAACTATACAGGAGGGGATACAACTAGAATAAATGGAATGGCATATCATGTTCTTGGACTGAATGAATCTAGCACTCACCATTATAAAAATATGAATTGCCTCTATACTGATTTAACTTAGATCCCAGTAAGTTTATTGAGGTACTCCCAAAAGGTCACCTTTCAAATTTCAATCCACAAGATAATTCTGGATTTTTATTAGGAAAATAAGACTAGCCAGGAAAATAATAAGAAAGAAAGGTTATAGGCAGACACATCATCTCAGATGTTAAAATGCATTTTAATTATATATCTACATATACATATATAGTCAGATGGTTTAATAGAATAGAATAAAAAGTCTAGAAATAGACTTGCAAATAGATTGGGATTTATTGTATAAAAAAGTAACATTTAAAATTAGTGGGGAAAGACCTACTGTCATATGCAGTTTGGGGACAATTCTGTATCATTTGCCGGGCTTAGGGCAGGGAATGTTAGAATCATACCCCATGCTTAAAGGAGGGCAAATTACAAATTGTACAAAGATCCAATTGTGAAAAAGTGAATTACAAATGTGCTAAAAGAAAACCTAGTTGAATCCTTTTCTAAATTTATAGTCAGAAGGCCTATCTAATAGTGATTCGATGTTAAAAAAACAAGCAGCCTGTCCTGTTCTCTTCCTGCCCAGTCTCACCCCTCTGCTCTTTCCCATTGCTAGATGCCTCAGCTCTTTGGTTGGCTGTCCAGGGTGGGTTTTAATGTCTGTCTTTGTGGCCTGGAGATTTTGAACACAACCAATGAATATTAGTTCCAAGACAGTCACCAAAGAACTTTATGCTTCTGAGTTTTCATGCTCTGTGGCCTGAAGTGCAAGTGACCGGGGAGGGGGTGCTGGCGGCTTGCCTCAGGAGCTGAGCAGAGAGGAGGCTGCGTGATGCCGGGCAGAGGCAGGGGAGGGCAGAGTCTTCCCAATGCGACCTCAGAAATCTCCATTTGTATTTTTATGGGTTGAGAAATATTTACTGTTAAATAATTGTGCATGAGTAAAAAGCACAGCCTATAAAATCAGAAAACCGATGACAAACTAGAAAAGAATATTGGTAATTACAGCACAGAGAATGTCCAGAAAGGAAATATAAAAATCAGAAAAAATGTTCACTGTCTCTCACAAAAACTTTAAACTACATTGAGGTCGTTTTCTTTTTCTACCTATTAGATTAAAAAAAAATCAGTTTGATAACAAATTGTATTGGGTCACATACAGCACTCTCATTTCTTGCTGATGAGACAATAAATTCATTTGGTCAAATTACTGTAATCAGGATAATTCAATAGTGTGATACTGGCAAGCCAATCAGTGAAAAAGAAAATATTGTTTACAAATATATTTCTGGCCAACTAATTTTGGATAAAGTTTCCAAAATAAGTCAATGAGGATAAAAGCCTTTTCAATAAGTTTTGCTGAATTAACTATACAATTATCAAAAATCTTCATTTCTACCTATACTATATATAAACATCAACTCAAAAGTATTACTTAAATGTGAAGACTACATTTGTAGTTTTTAGAAGAAAATATTGAAGACTGTCTTCATGACCTTATGCTGAGAGATTTCTAGTATGTGCGAATACTATTCATAAAGCATAGATTAGCCTTCATTAAAATTAAAATCATTTCATGATCAAAATATTACCACTAGGAAGGTGAAACAGCAAGCCCCATGCAGGCAAACAACATTATTTTTGTCTATTTTTCTGTCTATTCATCTGTCCATCTGTCCATTCATCCATCCATCTCTTTCTCTCCAAGGATCTGCCTAACACTAGCAATTTCACCTGTAGGAGTCGGCCCCAGAGAGATGGATGTGTCCATACATAGAGACTTGTGTGAGAGCACTCATCACGGCTTTACTTTTAATAACACCAGAATAGACACAACTTAACTGCTCGCTGATAGGAGAATGGACCCACCAGCTGTGCATACACCCTTTAGTGGAATGTTACTCAACCACAGAAAAGTATGAAGTGGTACCAGTGACAACATGGAAGAGACTCAAAATCATCTTGAACTGAAGGAAGTCAGACACAAAGTACACATGGTAGCCTAGCATTTGTATTAACTTCAAGAATAGGCTAAACTTATCTACCAGGTCAGATGCCTACTTGAGGGGCCAGTGAGCTGATGGGGATGAAGCATGAAAGAACTTTCAGGTTGATATTCTATGTCTTGATCTGAATGATAATTACATGCATGTGTATGTTTTCAAAAATTTATAGGGCTGCATACTTTCAGTGGCTTCATTTTATTATCAAGTTACAGTTCAACAAAGTGTGGTTAACATAAAGGTTACGATTTGCTACAGCTGTGACTTTCTCATGGCTTAGTTCATCCATTTGTACTTGGGTAGTTCAAAACATGTTCAGTTTGGGTTTATACAAAAGCAAAGTATCGGCATAGATTTAGACAACTACCTTGACATCAGATGGTTATTGCAGCAACAGTAAATGAGCCACAAAGGCTGTCTTGCTTGGAGGTTAGCAAGAAAGCTTTTAAGATTCCTAGCACATCTATGAGAGTAAGTGATAAAGCAAAACTATATTGGGGCTGCTCAGGGGCAGTATGAAGACATGACCGCCTCCTTGACTTAGTTTCAAGTCTGAGTGCACAGTGGAACCTCCTTTCCTCCTCCTCACTGCAGGCTGTGGCTGCCATCTGCCGTGCTGTGTTTATTCTTCATGCACAGCAGTTTTCAACTGTGCAAAGCACATATTCCATGCAGGGCTCACACGTGTTGCTTGGTGTGCTTGTGGCAGTGCATGGGTTACAGGGAAGCCTATGGGAAAACCATTTTGAAACCAAACTTAAGAAGGGAAACCTGGATAAAAGGTCAACCCCAAAAAGGAAAGCCAAAGTTTGCCTACAAACCATGTTCTGAAAAAAAAAAAAGTCTTTGCAGAATGACTTTTGACTTGTTCCTGGGCCCAAAGCTGCCTCTTCATGTTCACTGAAGGTAGAGCTGTTGAACAAAAGTCTATGTCTTTTCTTCACTTTGCAAATGCTACCTGTTATATCTTTACTGATTTCCCCTCATGGAAATCATGTTTCCATGGAAAAATGTTGTGCTGCTTCAGAATATTTTGGATTATTTCTATTGTCACATGACTCATCTCAGCTCCTTTCTATCACTCTTTCAAGAAGCTCCTTTTTAAGGCATCAGAGAGGCCCGAGCTTGGCCAGATCTTGGGGATTTAGGAGAACAGACTTTTCCTAAATGAGCCTCTTTGTGAGTCTGGGGGGATTTTGAGGGCAACATGCACACTTGCCTGCAGTCCTCGCTCTCCAGCAGGCCCCGGTATGTGCCGATCTCGCTCTCCAGCCGGGCCTTGACGTCCAGCAGCACCTCGTACTCCTGGTTCTGCCGCTCCAGGTCGCAGCGGATCTCGGCCAGCTGGGACTCCACGTTATCGATCAGGCACTGCATCTGGGCCAGCTGCGTGCTGTACTGGGCCTCGGTTTCTGCCACAGTGCACTCCAGGGACTCTGTCTGCACAGGACAGCCCGTGACAAGCTCTGTGCTGCTGTTTTCAGGGTCACATGACTTTGGGAAAGCAACTGAGCTGCTCTGAGCCTCAGTTTGGTTTCAGAGAGAGTGGAAGATGCACAGTATCTGCTCCCTGGGCAGGGTGGGGCCTAAGTGAGCCTGGCCTCTCCCAAGGGATGTGCGACTGACCCTCACCTGGATGCTCTCTGTGGGATCTGCGGAGGATGGGAGTTGGGGGAGCAACTGGCTAACGCAAGTAACTTCACTGGTGGTACTCTTGGTGCTTGGGTGGGTAGAGTGGGGTGCAGTGACCCCCAGGGTCAGCTTGAGATGTGTGACCGTGGGCGGCTGTAGGAAAGTGGCCATATGCAAAGTTTGAAACCAGTTTTGGTTTAGATCTGATGATGAACTTGAATAACTGACCTCCATCATGAGTGAAAACCCATTGAGGTGTCCTTGGCTGAGGGGGTCTCTCTCTCATTCTGCTCCTGCTCTCTCCTACTCTCCCTGTGTCTGGATGTGCTGCAGGGCCATGGTCATCCCAAGAGGAGAGGTTGGGGCACCCTAGTGGACAATACCAGCTACTGACCTCTCACTTCTGCTTCTAGCTGGGTACCAGCAATACTTGGAAAGGGCGAGGCAAAGTCACCCCTGCAAATTAGAAATTCAGAACTATGGCTCCAGCCTTTGGTGGTGGGGTCCCATCACAGGGCCTGCGTCTCAGTGACAAAGCAGGGCTGCCTTCCTTACATACCAGGCTCTGCTGTGCTTGGAGCTCGATCTCCAGAGCGTTGGCTGAACGCTTCAACTCCAAGATCTCCGTCTGACAGCCCTCGAGCTGCTCGGCGCTGGACAGCTGCTGCTGATTCAGCTCCTCGGTCTGAAACACACACAAGGTCAGAGCATGCAAATACTGCAGAATTCTGGCAGACGGTCATTTCTGGCCCCAGGTGCCCACCTGGACGGCGAACCACTCCTCAGCGTCTCTGTGGTTGCTGGCGAGCACCGATTCGTATTGGCAGCGCATCTCGTCCAGGACTCTGCTGAGGTCCACGGTGGGCGCCGTGTTCAGCTCCACGCTGAGCCGGTCTCCGAGCTGTTCCCGAAGCAAGTTGACCTCCTGCGAGTGGAAATGGGTCAGGCCTGTCCCCTCATGGTGGGGTGGGAATCACTTTAACATCCCCACGCTCCCAGTTCTGTCTTGTTAGAAAAGTGTTGGATTTAGAGTCACTCGCTTGGATTGAACCTCATTTTACTACTCAGCTTCATCTGTGAAATAGGCATAATAATTTTCCTTTTCCAGAAAGTTCTTGTGAAATGGGTACGAATCATATATATATGAAATAATATATATATAAATAATAAATATATAAAAATAAA